ATTTATCCCAAATGGCAAACCTGGAGTGGAATCCATATGGACTGTGTCCCTAAATTCTTTTTCCTTTTTTTACTTACTGAAGCACAAACAGTTTAATCATATGGGAGACCTAAAGGCGAAGAGCATTGGTGAAAGAGTTTACTATCTGAGAGAATTCCTCTTACTGCCTAACCACAATTCAATTTACTACCTATACAAGTCTTGATTTCCAAAAAGCAGCCACTCCACATCAGTAAATGGGAGGAATGAACTGGGAATGGGCAAGATCTTCCAGGTGAACTATTAAAAAAGAAACAAACACAAACTCATAACTGTTTTCCTCTTCCTCCCAAGAGAAAAATACAGTATCCTTGATTAACTGTTACGTAACCATGAGGCAACATGTATTTTCATAGCAAAACAAAGATTTACTTAATGTAGCAGTGACCAACAGCCATTTGCATAGGGACAAAACCGCTGTTTGCTTTATGAGCAATTGTGAAAGTACGCTTACATTTTGATCTTAATACTTGAACTTGATACTGGTTTCAATGGAGTCTACTAGCAGTGCATAAAGCGACTGCAGGATTGGAGCCTTATACTCTCCCATGATTAATCTACTTGTTTGCCCTTCCTACCTTTAGTAGATAGCTATAGCCTGACTTTGTATTTAGAATGTCTTTTTTATTACAAGTGACCCTGGAATATGATGTCAGGATGGCAGTAATTACATATTTTATTATCATTATCAGACAGTGAGTCTTAACAGAATAATCAGGATATATGCATTTTCTATAAATCACAATTTTGTCATTAACTTAATATGTGACAATGACATTTTTCATCAGAGTAGAAACATACCTTATCTTTATAGACGAAATAGATGCAGAAGTATATGAAAGAAAAAAATAAAGAGGGAAAAGCCTACAACAGACAATCAGTGATTTAAAACAAAAATATTTTATTTTTTAAGATCAGAGGTAAACCAGCCGTTTAGTTACTTTACATTTAGTGCCTAGAGACTAAATTGCAGTTGTTACCATTTCCTTTTTGTCAATCAGGTTCTACCAGTTTGAACAGAGCTGCCGACACTTTGAATACCTCTAGTATGCACCAAGACCCCCAGGGAGACCCGAGTGAAGAATGGAATGCTACAGCAAAGGCTTTTTATGATTCTTCTTTTCCCACAGAACATGTAAGTCAATTAAAAATATTGCGGACCAGACCTCAGTGAGCTAATTCCACAGATATTTGTACAACTGTACACATCTGGACACTTTAAGACTGAGTCAATCTCCAAAATAATATCAAAAGGGCAACAAGGCACCATTTTTCACAATTAAAGTTGATAGAAAGCAGCAGGAAAAAGTCACAGCATATGAATCAAACAGATGCTAACCAGTCTGTTTGGGAGGGGAGGAAGAGGGTAGTTCATTGTGTACCCTAGTAAAAATCATCACCTACAGTAAAAGTAGGAGTTAAAAAAAGAAAGAAAAAAAAAAAGTAGTATGTAAAAATATAAAAACATTGTTTCCTTTATTACTTGATAGAAGCATGTTATTTAAAAGAATCTGTGAAAGACTAAAAACTCAGCATACCTATGAATTAGAGCCTGTCTGTTTATTCTATGCTGCAGTTATGTGATGCCATATTTAGAGTTATCTTATTATTTAGCAGGGTAACATTAGACAAATGTGTAAAAGCAAAGAATTAAAAAGAAACCTATTGTTATCCCTGTAAGGCAACGTCATTCAGGATAGCACTAGCAATGGCTCGCACTGCGTTTTTAGATCGATGTTAGACTGTGGAGCTTGGACAGCTGTAACTGCTGTATTAGGATTTGACCCAATGTTAAACATATTATTCAAAAGTGATACAATAATTTACAACTGCAGTTAGCCTTCCTTTATAGAAGAGGTTCTAGAGATATTTCTCAGGTAGTTAATGACTGTCGTCTTTGGACAAGGTTTGAGCTCAGCGTGTATATATAGTGTTTTCAAGAGAGAAAGTTGGCTGATGCTCTCAATGCCATTAGCATTAAGCCTCTGAAATTCAGAAGTAAAGGCTTATTTTTTAAATTACTCAGCTTTCCTAACATGAGACTGCTTGGGAATGATGGCGAGGTGGATTTTTCACCAAACATAGTGGTGATATTTATCATATCTCTCTTGCTTTTGCTCACTGAGGTAGAGCCAGGAATTGACCAGTTAGAGCACTTTTCTCGCTCTGCCTTGCTTGCTGTCCCTCACCCTCCCTTTATCAGCTGACAGTTTTTGGAAATGAGTGAACTAAAATACCAGATCTACAGCTAATACAAAGCCGTATTTCATTACCTAATTGTGGTTACATCTGCTTTGTTACCTTCAAACTAAAACTCCTTATGTGCTGGCTAAGTAAAAGCTGAGATGGATACGAACAGAGTGCCTTGCTGGTGTGAACTTATATTAGTTTCCAAATACTTAATGTATGAAATCTCAGCCTGGGACATACAGACCACTCCCTTCTGTGTTGGTGTCATTCTAATACCTTCCGTCCTCAAATTTGTCATTTTTTATGACTGATATGAAAAAGCTGTTGGGAGATTAAAAATAGGCCCAGCAGTCTTCTTTGCTGCTCAGTTTGTGTTGACTGACATGTATGATTATAACTAGAGCAGATTTTCACCTCCTACGATTTGGGTAATCTCATTCAACCAAAGCACAATACTCTAAAAAGTGATAAAAATTAAAAAGAAAGCCAACAGGTGCACTTAAAATTCTAGTAAAAAAGATGAGGAACTATTTCAAACATTAGTTTGTATACACCTGAGTACTAAGGTAAGGGTGAATAAGGATCCTCAGCTCAGTTTAAACACAGGTCCCTAACTGTGCAGTCCTACTATTCAGCAATTAATGTTTTTTATGCATATGTGTCCCATAGGTTGCCATATTACTCAGTGCTGGCAGTAAGACACGTGGTTTACTTGTATTTTATTGTGAAAATGCTGAGGCCTTTTAGTTTGACAGCTGAGATTATTTTTGAAGCTTTATTCTAAACCCACTGTTACAGAACTGTATTAAAATGCTGTATGTATTACCTAACTGCAATTAATTCTCCAAAGAGGTCTAAACACTTGTTGTCTCCAGTAAAATCCAAGTTACAGGGCATGGCCTTATTTCACTGGAAAATTTCACTTCTGCATGTGTAAGACCTAAATGAATGTTTTTCTCTTGGATTATTAGTAGAGAACAGATGCAACCCCATGTGCTGTTTTATATAGATTTTGACTAGTGGCTTGCAATGAAGTATGAAGGCTGGCTCTGTGTAACAGGGCTTTGCTGTGCACCCAGGTTCAGGCAGGGGCCTGGTGCTGCACACTGGCCCCCTCAAGAGCCACACGATATTGGGTTATGAGCGGAGAACTCGCCACTCAAGCAAAAAACGTTTTCCCTACTGTGTTGCCACATGTGTTTCATTTGGATAGATATGAAGTTATCAATCAAACAATAATTAAAACTATTCCAAGAGCAAAAAGATCTTTTAACATCAAAAAACCAACCTATTACAGACCTTGCATTAGTTAGTGATGTTTGCTTTCTAATCTATGCAGCAAAGCACAGAGGGAGTTAGCACTATAAACCTCATGATTTTGGGGTTTGTTAATCAAATGCTTGCATAGCAATAGAAATGCAACATTAAACTGTTTGATTAAACTATTTATTTTGCTAATCTGCATTCTAGCACAAGGTTGTCTTTTTTTTCTCATCATACTCTTCTGTACTAAGTCTTATGCTAAGGTTTCGTTTATAAAAGTGTATTTATCAATTATCAAGTTTTCTAAATTAAAGCTGAAGCAAGCACTGCAAATTAAATGTATTTTTTTAAAATTGACTTATATTTCTGTTCACGTTTCCTTGCTTGCTTAATGCTCAGCAAAATCCAACAATTTGAACCTTTGTACCTGAATTTCACTGGATTATTAACTAGCTGCGAAATTTGTGTTCTGTCAGGGGAAAGAAGGATTTACTGCTTTACAGAATGAGCAGAAGTCTTCTCACATGACGGTAACTCCAGTGAGAAGTGAAAGTGCACTCACAGATGAGGACAGCTGTTCCAGTCATAACTCCATCATACAAAACCAAATAGAAGAAATTGAGAAATTCCTGAGTTTGGAGAGACTTAATTCAGCAAGAAAAAGAAAATATGAAGAAGGCCAGTGACGATCATTGGCAGGAGATAAAAAGCATGTCTTTTAGGGACAGATAAATCACTTACGTAAACCAGACTTGTAGAGGCTTTCATATAGAGTAAGCGCTGTGCTTTCATGTTTAATACAGCATATAGACCTTTATGTTCAAAAATGGATACGATCCCTACTAATAACTTTAATTCTCTGTTTCTACGATGAAATTTAAGTTAGTATGGGCTTTGTCCGAAGTTAAAAAGTTCACAAGTTAATGTTTTAATATCCATTAAATACAAATTAAAAGATTACTTGAGTACCCTTCTCCCGCTCCTCAGAACTCTGGGCTCAAACTTCAATTTGGTTTCTCTGTCAGACTGCTCACCCAGTTTTCAAGTAAAATCAGTTGCAACTGTTTCAAAATACAATGGTTTCTACAGACATTGACAACTACTTACAGCAGTTCAATCTTCTGCTTACCTTTACTGCCATATTATTGAAGTATATCTGTTGTAGTTGACTGTGTATCAGTAAGGTCTCTTTCCACACTAAAGCATCAGGTATGATTTACAGCGATAAGGCAGCAGATCTTGCTTCATAAAGCTTCATTTCTAACTGATTCACATTCTTCCTCCCATAGGGTGTAAGGGAAATTTTCTTTTACTTTACAATTCCTTCCACTACCATTTCTCTGATCTCCCTTCCCTTCCTCCCCACATCTCCTGCAAAGAAAGATCCTCATTTTGTAAACTTAAATAAGAACAGAAAAAACATAACCAATACTGCTACTGTTTGTTGTTGCTAATTATGTAAGAAAATCAACAGAAGATACTTTTCCATGTTAGTTTTATTGCTTTTTGTGTTGCAGTTTTGAATATTTAGCTTCTTTATACCAATTGCATACATTTTTGGAAACATTCACAAATTGTCAAAGTTTGGAATAAATTTCATCTACAGTGACACTACTAAGTAAAAAAAAAAATTTTAGGTGTCCGAGAGACTGAGGAGACTGTTTTTCACTTGATTCAAATTTTGCTTCCAGGTGTTTAGAGTGTCATACAATTGCTGCCACTGCTGCTTTCCAAAAGTCCGATGTGTGCTGTGACTAGAGAAGTAAAACAAAATTGGAAGACGATTACTAGGTGTCATGCTCACCTAATAACTCTTTCGTAGCATTACTTTACTCTCACACATGAATAGGAAATTTTTTATTTTGTCTATAAAGGGCTGCACTTTACCAGTTAGAGAATTCTGTAGCCTTCCCAAATATTTAAAACAACAAGAGTCATTAGTATTCTTGTCACTATTAGGTCATTAAATGAAATGTGCTGGAAAATAGGACTCTTTCATTAAATAAGCTAATCACATTCAGTGTGAGCTTTAATAAAATTATGATAAATGGCAACTATTTAACTACCAGCAACTGACAGGAACAATACCTTGCTTCTAGTTAAAATATTCTACAAATGTAAGTGAAATAATTAGAACACACTAAGTTCTGCAAAATGCTGTGAAGAATTAAGTCTTACCTGACAACTACTTTCCTCTGTGTCTGATCTATTTTGCAGTAGACCATCTTTGTCTTTACAGCTGCAAAAAAGCAATGCTGTTTTGAGCAATATTTTCAAGACAGTGCAAAGGTATTCAACTGCATAAAACCCCTTCAAAATTAGATGAATACAAACGTTAAAACACAGTGGTTCACTTCAATATTGTTTTGCTGTTGGTTTTAACAGTCTAGTAGGCAGAAAAGCAAAATGAAGTAACAAGGTGAAGGTCATGCATGAACCCTATTGTTTGGTGCCAATCTATTAAAGCAATATCCTGTACAGTTTTTATTAACTTCTCTCCCCTACAAACGCATCCTGTTTTAATGGCAGAAAAACAAACCAGATGACAAATTAAACCTGCAAACAATTTATTAGATCTATAAAGAATTACATGAAATACAGTTCCTATCACTGAAAAGAAAAACAGTTTAAAAGACAACAATTAGGCATGTCTTTAAGCATGAAATTTTGCAGTTATATCTTGTAACAAACACGAAAATTAAAAATAAGCACTTTTCTGAATATTTACCATTAGCTTAGAAGACTATAAAAGGTATGGTTCACTAGTAATATGTGTATGAGTCATACTGTGTAAAGTACAGTACTTCAGTTCTTACCATCGATAACAAACGCTTCTACATCATCAGCTCCAATCTGGAGTTCCTGTTGCATTGTGTCGAATGATATTTCTTTATTCTCCACAGCCATTCCCATGAAAGTAAGTAGCCTCATTTTTGCCATATTGTGTTCGTGCAACAAGCCTGCGTGTAAAAGCATTGGTAGTTTATGGAGATTAATTATAATTCAATAATTTTTCATGTGATTTTTACTATATATGCTTCCAATAATTTAATTTATTTCACATCAGGAAAATATTCCACCTGTCCTTATGAACATTTTTTTGAGGTAAAACATCTATTCCCGCATCTTCCTTGTGTTTTGCTAAAATAGCTAGTTTAGTTGTGAAGTCATCAAGACTCGGACACTGTCAGTAAATGTAATAAATATCCACAAAAATGAATGGCAGAGGTTTTCTGAAACAGTAACAACATCACCCTAACAGAACTTTAGGTGGTGAGGGTGCAAGGGAATTTTTCAGTTGCGTCACCTGGAAGAAGAGCAATGCAACAACAAATGGCAAATACATGGCTGGTAATGTCAAACCCTTCTTACATTCTTGCTGCTCATTCTCACGTAGCTGCTTGAAAATTTGCCTCTTTCAGTAGTGGTTTCACAACGTAACGTTTTTGTGCCATAAGAATGCATTCTGGCACCAAATTATCTGTGTATACCGCAGCAAAGGAGTCCCATGTGTGCTTTCAGTGCTCTTCAAGAACAGAGGAACAGATATTAAAAGTTAGATCTTTTACATGACTGTATGAACGGCAACACAAGGAACAGAGCCAACGGCTTGCGCATCTAAATCGGAGACCATTTTCCAGGAAAAAAGTCTAGGTCAGCAAAGGTGAGACATTCCGGTGAACCAAGGCATTTCTTAATCGAGTTCTGTGAGGCAGCAACTCAGATTTAGTGGAAGTTTCTTTAAAATGAAGGTCAATCATTTTGTTTTGGAATGACATTATAAACATTTGCATTGCTTCAGTAAATATTTAAGTTTGGAATTTATAACTTCCATACACTAATAGGAAAGCACATTAGTGCAGGACATCATGTTGTGTTAATTAGCTATAATTATGATGCGGGTTCCCTGTTTGGCACTGATTCAACAAAAATGTGATCACTATAATTCACATGAATGAGGAGCACCAGCAACTGTACCTAACTGGGTTTAATGGAACTCTACAAGCATCAAAAAATCAATTAGCACACATTAACCCTAATTAACAAATGCAAATGAGATGCTGATTAACTTTCTGAAAAAGACTGCTGATAATACCAGATTAAATGTGGACATGTTAGGGCGATTCAGTTGACACAGATAATGCTACTGCTGGCCTAAGTTGTCAGCATTAATAAAACAACAAATTGTAACAAACTGATGCCACCTGTAGGAGCCTTCACTGCACAGCTTTCACAGACTGGTTTTAATTGGTTCTGGTCCACAGAAGGTTAGAACTAACACTGATGCTGTACCGCCACTGAAATCTTATTATTAATATCCTTTACTTTTTTAAAGCCCAACATCTTGGAAAGATATTAAAAAAAAAAATCTTTAAAGCATGGTTAAAAATCTATTTCTTTTTGGGAACAGACCATAGGTGTTCTGAAGGATTTCTGAATGCCTCATCTCATAATGGTAGTATTTTCTATACCAAACTGCCCTTGTTTCTCAAAAGCGTAGCTGGAACAATCAGAGCAAGTTCCTAGCGCTCCTGTGTGCACCGCCTCAGAATCTCTGCCTTGGCCACCACTCAAAGACATTCCAAATTTTCTGAGTACGCCATAAAGCAGGTGAGACATCAAGGTAACTCTAAGTACGGCTGTCTTTGCAAACGGTTATACAGATATTTAAGGCTTTTGCTAGGATTATGTGAATCTCAGATGTATTGAAGATGCACATGCTGTATATTCACAGAGGTAAACACAGATGCAGGGAGGCAAAGCAAAAGAAATCACGACTACTGCATGTTAAACAATTAATACTATGTATACGTGTAATTAATCTTCCAGAAATTTATTCAAATATAACAGCATTTTCAGCAAATACTTCTGCAGACAAATAACGAACAGAAAAGCCCTTTCAATACACAAAAATAATTACAATACAGAAACCACTTTCCCCTACGAAAGAAAAGCGTAAGATGGCCACACAACAGATGTTCAAGTACATATGACAAAAGGCATGCTTACACTACACACACATTTACAAACTACCAAAAACATGCTGCTAATTCTATCCACAAAAGCATCACATTGATATTTCCATCATTTTAATACCCACAGTACCAGCATTTTAAAGCTTGGAGGGTAATTATTCTCAGAATTGTACCACACTCCATTAAACAAAATAATGCACGTGTTATAAGGCTGCTCTAAACTCTGTTTTGGTAAAACTATGCCTTTCCTCAAATGCATTCAGCCAGTGTTCAAGTGTCATTTCAAAATCAAAGTTATAAAAAAAAAAACCCACCTGATTTTTATGGAAACATTTATTCATTACCAATATGTCAAAACCTTAATGCAGTAATAAAAAAATCTGCATCATTGAGCAATTTCTGCATTGTCACTGACCCCTGTCCTAAAAAGCTGGAATATAAAAAACGTAATTTTAATGCATGCAATAGCTTATGAACCAGTGCTCCTTTGCAACAGTCAATTACACATCAACGGGGGAGTGTCAAAGTGTTAATTACTACTCCTTTTTTCCACAGTGTGTAAATAAAGAGGGTGCTGACATTAACATTCCATCACATTGCTTCATGTGATGAAACAAATTAACTGGGACAGTGGCTTGCTAGGTCTAATGCATCAGCACACGCAGACACACACACACACAATTGGCATGTTGTATCTTACTGTTCAGGAGAAGTATTTGCTGTTAGAAAGTTATTGATCATAAAAAAATTGTAAGAGATTTATCCAAGCTGCGTGCTTACTCAGTAAAGGTGTGCTCTCTGGCCTAGCCTCGAGTATCAGTGCACTAAAATTCCCATCCCGAAAGGTTTGAGAGAAAAGAAGCGGGGAAAACACCATTCCCCTAAAACAACTTGTGCTGGCAGAACAAACCGCAGCCTGACAGTCCTTTTACCATCTAGCAGAGGTTAGAGTCTACAAACTCTAATCCATTCCTCAGAATTCCTACTCAATTTCCTGGGCTTCAATATCTGGGTTCAAACTGAAGCGCTTTGTGGCTTCCATATTTTAAGCTACGTAAACAGTCAGAAATGTAATGATCTGAAAACTTACCCAGGGAGTCAATGAAGTCTTTGTTGTTCTGATAAAACTTGACATAGGATACTAGTTTAGCACTTACAAAAATGGTCAAAAGCTAGAAGACGGAAAACAAATATAAGAACAGTTTAAATATTAACTGTGTTTCCTTCTCTGCAGACTGGACAGATACATATATAAAAACTACTGTATTGAACAGAAAAATAAACTACTAAGAGCTAAAATTCTGTCTTCTGTCAACAGCTGAGGGCAATCTGTGCTGGGCTTAGTGCCTTCTCTCAGATTTGGAAGGCAGTTTTGCTACAGAACTTGGGTGAGGGCAGGATTTGTAACTCTAAGTTTCTGAAACTTCTAAAGGGAAGCATTGTACATGTTATTTAATTCTAAAAGCACTAGGAGAAATAGTACATTGCACCTCAATACGACTGCCGTAGATAACTGATCTAATGAACTTCAAAAGACGCTCCTAAAACAAGGCACTCCACAGATATCAAACCAGCTTGCTAAAGAGAGTTACTTACATCATGAATAAGTTCTCCTTCCAAAAATTTGACTGGTTTTAAGGCAAGAAGATGATCAAACAGAAAGGTATTTGGATCCTTCAATGCTCGTACAATACACCTAATCAGAAAAGGAAAATGCTTATTTTTACAGCAATACACATTCTTACGAGTAAGTGCAACTAAATTTGTTGTTCTTTGCTTTCTAGCAAACACCCAAGGGTCTTCAATTATTCTTCAATGTAAGACAAGTCACATTCCAGTTTTGATCTTCATTTTACAGATGGCAAAAACAAGGAACAGAAAGCATTACGCAATTTGCCCAGCATCACAAATTAAATTTCCTAGGTGGTAAGACTACAGATCACCCTGCTGTTTCCATCTACGCATCTATTTCCAGCCCAGCCTTCATTCTTAGAGGTATTTTTGCTGTCCTCCTAAAATTTCACCGAAGTAAGTTGATTAGGAAGATTAATTATAGTTGAATACCTGACACAAACACTGCAAGGCCTATGATTTCTCAGTTGCAGCTCCAGACTGCAAACAGACCCGAAGCGCTCCCAGAACCCTAGATGAGAGCTTCTGGCCAGCGGCGCACTGGAAGACTCGGCGTGACACTCGCTGTGCCGGCCTGGACCATGACCCTGCCATGGACCAGACGCCCAGGAGAACCCAAGGTCTGCAGAGAGGCGGCAACACGACAAACCCGAGGCAGATGTGTCCTCGCAGATGTAAAAGGCCTCAGATTGCTGCAGGGCAGTCACTGAAGTTTTCGTTTAGCACGGACACTTTAATTTTCAAAATGAGTCATCCTGATTTTCCTGCATGCTCAAGTATGAGCAACTCCCTTGAGTACTATTGGTCGTACACACCTGGCAGAACTACAAGACTTACTAGAAATCTAATTCCTAAGAAGAGCCACCATAGGTAGAATGTAAAATACAAGATTTCCCTCATTTTGGCCCAAGGGGAAAACACACAAACCAATTTACTCCCAGCTTGTCCAACAAGTAAGTTTTTCTGTGCGGTTCACATCCTCAGTACTTGCTCATAGAAAAGAGAGCAAGCATTTCTATTCCGCAGAAAGTGCTACTTGAAAAGAACACTAGAGAATCAAACGAGTAGACAAAAAATCTGACATAAGGGATGCCAATTCAAATTTTGATTGCACAGTTGATGTAAACAACATCCTTATCCAAGGCTGATCTCCCTCAGCAGTGACCAGAAACACACCTGCGCACAGCAGAGTAAACCTGACACTGCCTAGAGACAACCAAACCTACCACAGACTGCACAGATAAGCTCTTGCTCAAGTTAGCCACGCTACAGAAAAGAGGCTGTGGCAGGGCCCTTGCCTGCCAGGCCATTCCACACTCTTAACAGTAAGGAGATCAACATCATTTAGCAATGGTAAAAAAGCTACTTTAAAGGAAACAGGGAAGTCAGTATTACCTGTGAGCATCGACTCTAGCCTGGGAAGCGTTGTCCTCTGTGTAACTTCCCAGTAGTTCCACCATTACTTTTGCTGCAGCGTCACTATGGAAGAAAAAGTTACCTCAGGATTACTGAAAAAATAGTTCAAACAAGACACTCAAATATTTAAATAATTCCATTACGATGTTATAGGTCAAATTAAATTACACTTGAAAAAGATGTAGATGACCCATTTTAAAGCTAGGGGAGAGAACAAATTAACTAGATATATTCTTTCAATTCTCATTCTACAAAATGTTTATCTTCACCCTTCATTTCATTCTCTTAAATTGATAAATTACCTGCCGGTTATGGAAAAAGCTTTCTGAGCTAGGAGCAGCTTTATATGGTTCACTAGAATGCTCCTCTTATGCACATCTGGATTTAATCATTGCAGAATAAGTAGTGCTGCAAAGTTTATTTCAAATGTAAAATGGCATATCTTGAAGAATATTTATGGTCAGGAAAGTGTATAAAAGCTGCCTTTTCTTCTTTCACAGATTCTCTTTGCAAGTATTTGGAGTGAGAGCTGCTCGTTTTGCTGACAAAGTTAAGCAGCCAGCAGTTAGATTGGCTTAGGCTGCTGTGAAGCAAGCAGCTTCCAACATTGCTTTGATGGGCAGCTTTTAGAAAAACAATTCGTTCTAAGAAAATCGAGTAAACCTGCGGCCTTGTCTACCCAGATGATTTTGTAAACAGCATCTCATCAGTGTTACGGCAAACCAGCTCCGAGGCTGTTACTGTGTCGTTTTAACAGATCTTGATTTATTTTCACGTAACAGTCCTTACCACCAGCGAGGCCAGCAATTGCTGATGCTCTTTACAAAATTTTCAGCAAAAAATATAGGCATTGAATATACTGTGTCTGTACACACAAAAATCCATTTCCTATTTCTCATTGGATTCTTGTTAGCTATTAAAACAGACAGCTGTGACAGTTCTTCCATACAGAGAACAGATTTTGCTGCTGCCGTCTTACTTGTTCCTTTGGAGAAGCCAGGGTACGGCTGTAGACACGACCGAAACCCAAGAGCACTGAGAGCACAACTAAGACACGGTAATGCCAGCGCGTACTCGCAGAAATCCCCCGCGCACGCACCCCGACTGGCGACTGCATTCCTGAATGCTGCTTCCTCAGTGGACAGGAGGAAGGCTGGATACCGCTCTCCAGAGTACAGCGAGTTACAGCGTACAGCTAAGCTCCTCCTTCAGAGCAGCTCACTTCCAGACACAGCACATTTCACCGTGTGGTCTGACAGACCTACAAAATTCCCTTATACAGAGTAAACTGCACAAGAATAAAGTTTCAATTTGCTTTAATTGCTTAAGTTAACAGCAGAAATTGCACAGGGAAGGAACAAACCAACACAACACTCCCAGCACGCACTGTGCTGTGACATGGGTTTAACTCACACAGCAGCACAGGTCTGTACGGTTTTTATAGTACAGTGACACTATCGTCATATAGGTATATACTTTAAATCTCACAATAATAATTGACAACTTCTCTACAGGGTGAGGCTTTCTGCTCCTACAGAATATACCAGATCTCACAGATGTGCAGTACAACCATTAAGACATCATGGGAAGCAGGCGATATCGTATATAATCTGGATGTATATTGGAGCGAAGAGAGTTTGTGCTCAAGGCAGGGGAATTTTCTATAGGTCCCAGCCATTATACCAGAACTGTGTTCAGGGATGTAAACCTGAATGAAACACTTGTTTTAAGACTCCAGCATTAAAGAGGTCAGCTTATGTTTTGTCATGGCAGCTGATACTGGTGTGTAGAGGAACCGGTAGCTCTGTATCAGTGAAATAAAATTAATTTAGACAGCTTTATATATGCGAGAAATACTTGCATGTAAATCAGTCTACAACAGACTACAAATTTTGCACTGCTGAAATCTTATCAACAGTAGATGTTCTAGTGAAGACAAAGAACCAGTTTAATACAGGACTGATACTATACAGACATTCAGTAAGCGGCTCAGCTATTCAACCTCACAATGCAAGCTCCCCTATTTAATGTAAACTTTCAGTAGTTGTTCTTATACGCTTCAGAACTGTGTTACAGATTTCTGGAACTTTTCCTTTCCTCCCCCTTCCCTTAGAAGCAAAAACTGAAAACTACAAACTTCACTAATTTCAAAGAGTATTTGCAATCCCCCTGCATTTTTATTTTTTTTAATTAGTTTTTTCAAGGGGGAAGGAGTGGAATCTTACACTTGTATTTCTAGGAAACATCAGAATGCTACAATGCAATTCCTCCCAAATTTTCTGCACTAAATTCTTGTAAGCCTCAGCAAATATGGCAGGCCTTTTAATCTTACTCATTCTACTCAATGTCAGACGACTGTGAATTAGCATGTTTAAAGCAGTAATACAGATCACTTTTACCAAACCTCACTGCTAAATGCCTGTGTCACCCAAGATGCAAACTGAACATTTTTTCTAGCAAGAGAGCTTGCACAAGTAATCTTGGCTCCACATGCCAGTCTAGATGCGTAACTTGACAAAAAGCCAGTGAGAATTGAGGAGTGACGGTAGACAAAAGGAAGAAAAAAAAACACAGAGTATTCAGACTTAGTAAGATGTTGGAGTCAAGTCACTTACATGTTATTAAATGGAATTAAATTCTTACATGATATTAAATGGAAATAAAATTAAATGAAACAATTATTTTGCCCGTGCCTGACATGCTGAGCTTTTTGCTACAGGTGTTAATAACCAGACTTGCCAGACCTGTTGGAATGCAAACTTGAGCAGGACTAATATCACTCTGAACCCTGCCAGGTCACAGCAGAGACCAGCCGTGAGCTGGTGCCCGGCAGGGTATTCAGGGCCTCACAGCAGGACTCAGCTCTCCGGCTGCAGGCAAGCCACGCACGCCCGTAAAACTCCATCTACAGCTGGCAAAGAAAACAGGTTGTGTTACCTTGCAGTTTCATGCCAACACAGCTAGGAAAATGCTGAAGGCTGAAGCAGCTGAGGCACAAAAATCTACCACAGAACCTTTTTGGCAAGGAGCATAAGCAGCACAGAAAGTAACTATCTGCAAAGTTCAGCTACCGAAGCAGATCTCAGAAACAAGCCACGCCAGCCATCTGTTTTCCAGCCACCACCACCACCATTTTTTCTTCAGCTGATCACGGGAAAGATAAAAGTCCCTCTTCAAAGAGATCAAGATGATTTTGATCATCAGAAAGAAGAAACTTCAGCCAGAAAAGTGACTGGAAAAGATTTGATAAAACAACCTTTCACTTATCACCGCAGGAAGAGGAATGCTACCCAGGACATCTGCATGATCTAGTTTTCATGAGCTACCAGCCTGGTCACTACCCAGTCACCCACTGGGGAAAAATCTATTAGCTATGGAAAACCATCTCTTCTGCCACACTGAGTGAAGTTAAAATGTAAAACCAACAAAACAAAACAAAAATTAAATCCAATGGTTTTCAACAATGTATTCTCTTCCCTTGATTATATATCAACACGATAAAATCCTGCTAGATAGAGCAACATTCCTGAGTGCTAAAGCTGGAATGCTGCTGTGCGTTTCCCATACTATTGCAAATACTGCCCACTGATCCAGCAGAGTGAACCAGGTCAAAGGTGCTAGGGTCACTTCATGTTTTCTTTTCTGGAGAGAAGTGTAAGTGCTCTGAAAAATTGCTCCATTCAGTGCAAAGCTTGCTGCAACAGATGGTAAGGACACTGAGTGCAGCAGTAATACATTACAGGGTTTGTGACAGTTTTTAATGCCCAACTTCAAAATATCACATATTATTAGTAAGGAAAAAACCATTTGGTAGCAAGTTACTGGTAGCACTGGAAACAAAAATTAGAAGATTAATCCACAGATTTGATAACAAGACTAGCTAAAAATAGCCATTAGGTATGGGAATTAGGCTAGATAAAACCTCTCAATGAATCAACAAGACGAGAAGTGTTTAAAAGAGCATGAATATTACGAGTATCAGTGTAATATTTCTGAAACAAAGTAAGCACTAAGTCATGTATAAAACCTCTGATCTGAAATTATTTTGACCATCTGCAATCTGTCATACAGTACTACCAATGCAAAAGCATTTTCATGTGAGGAACGGGAATTCCCAATAATGTTGTAGCTCACAGTGTAGGTACTCCATGAGGATTAATCATCCCTAAATTGAGGTTAGTTAAGCATGCTGATGCAGCAATTCCAGGGTACAATTTCACCAGGCCAGAATAAGCTAACTCTCCTGCCAGAAGAAACTCCCCCCCCTCCTATGACAGCTCCACACCTGCCTTCTTTAACCCCTGGCAAGGCCACCTCCCCAGTCCAATCCACCCCGCAGACGCAAACACGCCTACACGAGCACAAACACACCGAACCGATGCACCGGCAGCTGGAGAGGAATGGGGGGGTACAGGACAGAATTGCTTCCCTCTACAGCAGTAAAGGTTACGCAAACGTAGAAAACGCAAGCGCAGTTCTGCTACCAGTGTAAGTCAGCAGTGTAGAGGTGTGATGCTGCCTCACTAAAAATTAAAAAACCACAAACTTAGAAAACTAACTCAGAAAAAAGACTGAAGGGGAAGGGCGGGGGGGAAGCAACACACACCCCCCCCATGCACATCCCGAACTACAGCAGGGACAGTTTAGATAGGCGGGAACTATTGTGAAACTACACAACGGAAACCAGTTCTGGACACGAGCCCGTCTCTATGGCCCTGGCCAATGTGGTCAATACCCCATATCACATCTGTAAGATAAATTGGTGACAGCTCTCAGTTAAGACTTACATTAATTTACAGGCACGATACACACAGGATTACTTTACATGCCAGAAGACAGTGGTCTGCCAAGTCTGTTAGATCAAAGATGCTTCTTATGATCCAGGATAATAATTTAAAATGACCAAGCAGGTATTCTGTGGACATTAATTTCCATGACTAGTGGAAAGCTCTGTCCTAAAGGTAATGTTTACATAAAACGACTGATTCTGTTAACTGTGATTGATAAGCCTCCCAACATCATTAAATAAGAGATAGCACTACCATGCACTAAAATGTCAAAAGTGCAATGAAATAACAAACTTGGCATAATGCTACAATGCTCAAAGATTAATATTTATAGAAAGGAATAGTTTTATTTTGGGAGTCTGTGGCTTGCAGCTAACTCACTTCTAACCTTAATATTCTTGGAAACACCAGCTTGGTGTAAGAGTGCTTAAAAACAGAGAAAGGAAAAAACCCAGGTATATTTGGACAGTATCTGTTACTTGTCTTTTATACCTTTTTTTGCAGTCTACTAGGACATCATACAGCAGTCTCAGAAGAGTATGCTTCTTCTCTGTGCCGAGATTCCAGTCAGAAATCCATTTTCGGACCTAGGTAGAATACAAGTGAAAATGAAGCACTGGGGAAAAGACTAAAATAAAACTGAAAATATTTCTCATTTTCTCTCAAACAGAAAAGGATTTAAAAGATCTTGCACAAAGATTTCTCCTTCGGGTCCTCTGACTCTCATGCTCCCCATGCAGAACCTGGAAGCTTTCCCACGAAAAGCCAAAAGTCTGTGCTCTCCACGTTACTTCCTAAATAAGGATGAGGGATTCTGACACATTCTGATTCCCGAGCAAAGGACAAGAACCTGATGCCTCATTCCTGATCAAAGCTTCTCACTTTCATTACTACCACAGGAATCAAACATACACATCTAACTACATTCAGCATCAGAAACGGAAAATAAACAGCAACTTGATTTAGATTCTGTAGACAGACCGTTACAAGATCGGAAATTCTGTATTCTGCACTTCTTATTTCACAAGGCTCTGGCAATTTATAACAGAGACGGTCTGTATCAACTCTGACTAATATTTAGTGAGATGCAACATGCTTAATACAAAGGCCGTAACTCGAAGCACCGCATTAATTACCTGATCTAGTTCAGTTGGAATGTACTGGATGGCACCACACGATGAGGCCACTTTCAGAAGGCTGCAGTACACTGTGTATCTCACAGGAGTGTTCTTATCCATACCATGGAAGAGATTGCTCAGTCTAAACCACACACAATGAAAAACTGAGTTAAAGAGGTTTCAGAGATCTTTACTGGAGTACACATAAATGTTTACATTAAGATGTGTGTTAGTACACACAAAGCAGCTGGTGGCACCTTACATCCGTGATGAACTGTAATGGCATCCAGTTTTGTAAGTTTTCAGCAGATAAGGTGAAAACTCTGCGCTTTTTAATTTTGTAATACCAAAGCACAGCAAGTATATGGGTACTTCTATTTTACGACAGGGAAAAAGAAGGTAAAAAAAAAAAGAGCACTTCCTGCAACAGAGAGACATATCCTGACAGACACCCCACACTGATTTGCAGTCATACAGTTGCAAGATGCCTTTGTTTCACTTTCCTCTGTACAATACTTACAGCTGCAACCTAAGAGACGGGCGCTCTCCTTCCCGAAATTTTACTAACTTCTCACACAGGTTTTCAATCAGCGCTTCTTGCTTGTCAGGTTCCAGGATAAGAAGCAAAGAGACTACACTGTTCATTACGCTCTCAACATCTGCACAAAACAAAACATGCAGCTGTTTAAAACTGCAAGCAGCAATCATCAGTAGCTATTTAGTGCTGGAGAGTTACTCCTGCTATGGATTATTATTTCGCATTGGCAAGAACTGTAAAGGAGAGAAAATGCCAAGATAACCAATCTGGATGTTCACCAGAACGTACGAGAGATTTGGCTCATGTGATCTCTCACCAACACATCTCCACGTAAAGCAAGAATTGCCACTCTAGGGTCAAAACAGCATTTGCTATTTGGTACCACACTTGTTCTGAATTCTCTATTCACACATAAAGGAAGTCAGGGGAACTTCAAGTCTTGGTCTTCGAAAAACAGTGGCTTCGTCCTGCACACCCAGATAACTGCCCCACAGTTCTCCAGTGAGAATACCAACACCTGGTGCTCAGGTACAGTAAAACATTTCACCAGGAGCATAGGAAACCCAGACCACAGGGAAAACATCCAAAAGAACAAAGTATATTGTGACTCCTCCTCCCCAGCTCCTGGTTTAAGCGTGGCCTTACATCCATTCGAAACCAACCAGACAGGTTTTGTGTTTTCTTTTCACAGTCTGCCCAAATACCAGCTATGTAAAGGATAAGGACAAAATTCATTACATATGGAAAATATTATTTAGTCCCCAAAATGATGCCTGAACATCAAACAGCAGAGCAATAAGCTTCTCCAGCATTTCACACTCATCTGCCTACAGCAAAAGGCAACATGAAAAATAATCTCAAGTACTCCTTCTTAGATGAACCACATATTCTTTCAAACTTTCAGTCTTTCATTGATTTTTTTTAAAGGTAAAAGTTCTAAATGGAACTTGTACATTGGTACAGAGCACAGCAGGCACAGAAGGATCATTTCAGGCTCCTGCAGCACTATCAGTGTCATTAAAACACGTTAGTGCAGTTTCTAAGGACCTACAGTCCTAACTCGAAGAGTTACAGACCACTGAAAATCCCAGTGTTTTCAAACAATATTACGGCCTAATCAATTAAAACTTCTACTTACAGATGTCTAATTTTAATTTTTGTGGCTATCTTATTTTTTCTTGATCTGCAGCATCACAGCCATTAATTGACATAAATCTTGTTTTTGTCATACTTTTTCACCCCCCTGAGTAAAACCCTACTTTATATACAGGTTGCTATGTCCTCGTAACAAGCAGAGTCTAGCTTTGTTTCTGACTCCTTCAAAGGGCACTGGATGTCTGGAGAACGGAGGGGTAGGGCACATGCAAATTTTACATGGCAATGGTGGAAATAAGCACCTCCATTTTTAGAAAGATATGCGTGTTAACACGCAAGCCATGCACCATGCTTCTCAATTCTGCCAGCCATTACTGTTTGAAAGCATTGATGGTGACACGTTTAGCAGAAACCAACAAGACTTAAAGGTGCAAACCTTTGTCATCCTCTTTCAGGCACACGTCACAAACTTCAATAATCTGTGCCAAGTCCACATGCAGTCCACCTTCTGCGTTTTCTTCAGAGATTTCTGCTCCTTTGGATTTCAGGTAAGCCCGAAGTTCTGCAGCCTTAAAAAAAAAAAAACAACAATACACACAAAACAAAACAGTTGTTTTGTGAACAGTGAAGTCAAAGTAATTACATTTCTTACAGAGTTTTGCTCTGTAACCACTCCTCTGCCCCGCCGCTCACTCACACCAGCTCTTGCTTCTCCCTGCCACCTCGTATCCTACAATGCTCCCTCTCCTCCACTTTAACGTATAACCCAAATACCAACTCAGTCCGCGTGCTGTGGCTGGTCTGCCGGTAACTGAATAGATCACACAACTGCGGAGCTTTCTCATGGTAGGAACACATCGGTCACAATTGCTGGCTGGAGGACAGCAGGCCTAGTAAGTTTTTGTGACAACGATGTTTTCTTCTAGCATAGAGCTAATTTCCCTCCCAGTAGCTGCTGTGTTTCGGAGTTAGTATGAGAAGAACATTGATAATACACTGATGTTTTCAGTTGTTGCTAAGAAATCAGTGACTTTTTCCAGTTTCTCATACTCAGCTAATGAGCAGGCGTGCAGGAGCTGGGAGGGAGCACAGCCAAGCTGGCCAATGGAAATATTCCATACTATGGATGTCATGCTCAGTTTATAAATGGGGGTTGGCCGGGGGCAGGACGCTATGGGCTTTTCAGTGTTCTGGAAGTTTTGAATCCGCTCTTGGCCAGGAGTTCAAACCTTTATTGGGCTGCAAATCGGTTGTCAGGTGGTGAGAAAAACTGCATTCTATATAGTTTGTTTTGCATATTCATTACTATCACTGTTATCATCATTACTATTAGTAGCATCAGTATTTACTGCTGTGTTAAACTGTCCTTATCTCAGCCCAGGAGTTTCCCCTTTTGCTCATTTCTCCTCCCCATCCCACTAGGGGGGAAGGGAAGGGGTGAGCAAGCACTGGCTAGTGCTGAACTGCTGCGTTAAACCATGACAGACTGGGATGCTACTGTGACACCAGGCGTCATTTACACCAAGTTTGGTGTCAAATCATTACAGCACCATAAGACACAGCTAAATATGCTCAGTACCCTTTACTGTACTGGAGATGTTTCAGACTAGCTACTTGGTGGGGATTTACTGGACATTGCGGCAAGTGGAAACTGGACTGGAGACTGGTAGTCGTGCACGCACTTCTTGCAGATTCCCAGCGGCGTATACACACCGCTTAAAAGACACTGGGAACAGCAAACCCTACAACTCAAGGACAAAACACAGAAGTAGCTCAAAGACACAACTCAGCCCCCAGGCCTGTGGTACCGGAGATCCCGCAGCACCGAGAGGCACAGCCCTGCGCCAGCCCGCACCTGGACCAGCCTTCCTCTCCTCAACACCGGCACTGCCGCGGGGAGCTGAGAACAAAGCCCGGGGCGGGGACGGAACAACTTCGAGGAGGAAACTGCAGGCAGAGACTGCTCCTCCGGCGCGCAGCTCCCTCAGCCCCCGCCACAC